TTATTATTATTATTATTATTAATATTATTATTAATTGTTATTGTTATTGTTATTATTAGAGATGTGTATAAGAGACAGTATATATATTCGGGAAAAAAGCCAGACATTGAAATTACACAAAAAGAAAGCAATTTTAAATATGTCGCATAATAACGTTCACACAACGTTGTAAAAACGTTCTGACGTGAAATTAGGTTATAAGTCACCAAACTGCACCGTTATTGTAACGTTCTTAGAACGTAATATTGTTAGCGGGGTAATACTTAACTATGGTTTAAAGAAGATTGAATGTATGCATTTGAAAAATAACTTTCGAAATTTAAGAGTGATAATTGGAACTTACGTACTATTACCTGTTTACTGGATTTTCCAGTGGAGTCTTCTGATCCTCCTGGTATGAGGGTGAAGCAGATGATGCCTTATGGGCCCTTTAAATAACGAATTGTACCAAGACTTTCAACAGCAGAATTGAACGCTATTCAAAATGTTGTAATTATATACCATGCATTATTATTTTAAATAAAATTATCATACATATTGGATAAACTTTCATAAAATATCTTATAAATGTTGTAGTTTTACGTTTTTAACATCTGATTTTTTTTTGTAACGCAATAATGGTCGCTTCGCTTGTTCTAAGAATATGCATTCTGCATTAAATTTAAATGTATTTTAATACATGCGTAGATGCATTTGCTGAGACTAAAAATCAAAATTATGAGAACACAATCATCTAGCAATCGTCGAAATATTGTAGGCCCTTCGACGCCAGACTTGACCATGCCAGCACCGGATTATAAGCTCGTCTCTACAGTAATTATGAACCGTTCAAAATTCGATACATAGCGACTTACGACTCCTCCGGGACTCCTTATAATATTGATGAAACGTCCCATGTGTATTTTTGATCGTTTATATAATTTCACGCAAGAAATTGCGATTTTTTTTTGTCGTGTTAATAATATACTTCTGTATTTCTGTACTTCTTAGACGTGCGTTTTCTGATGTGAATGCGAATGTTATAATTTTGGTCATGTCAGTCGGAATCCAAAAATACGGTAAATATTTTGTTTTGTGTGCACATTTGTGTAAAAATATTTTGTTTAAATAATAAATTATTGCAGTAGACCTAGGCTACATTAAGCCAGTATTATGATGACCTGGAGGTAATAACAATGGCATTGGTTGAGCGAATAGATATTATAAGGCCTACCGGTAGCGTATATAAGTAAATTCCCACCGAAACGATACTCCGTTAATCAGACAGCATTTGAAGGGAGATGCTTTGCCAAGAAGATCGGAGTTGACCTGCCTTGCTCGAGTGCCCCCTCCTCACATTTTACTCCACTCCAAATATAACCATATTTATGTAATAGACCATAGCATGTCTATGCTCTGCCTTTTATTTAGCTGGTTCTCTGAGGGTGTCTATACAATGGCTATTACCGTAGTGTCACATCAAACAACAAGCCAATTGAAACATTGCCAGTAATACGCGTTTGTCCCACAAACTCGAGTTTTTCCCTCCACAAACGCTCATGTTTACGCACTCTGTCTTAGTATGCCTAGTGGGTGAGGCTTAGCGGAATAGTCTTTAAAGAAAAAAATGTTTTAGCAGTCAATATCGCTGATGAAATTTCGTAAAAGCAGGATTTACAAGACCATTCCATGCCTAGTAGCGCCTCAATGTAACATAGGCCTAATTAAGTCTGATTCTGAATTGGCTGCCTTTATCGGCATGATTTTGGACTCGGGCCTCTCACATTTTTTATGATAAAGCCCAAACTAACACTATCTAAATCCATCGTTTACTTTATTTATTTATTTTTTATTTAAAACATCTTTAGGCTGGATAACATATACAGGTGAGATCTTACCGCTGTTTTACAATATGGTCCTGCAAAAACAAAGTACAATAACAACAACAAAAAGTAACCAGCACAGTACAATAAAATAAACAATAGTAAAAACTTTGGTGGAAAACTATCCCCCTCCGGACACCAACCCGGTACTACTGAGTCAAGGTTTCGGGGTCAGGGATTACGGCTCAAGGTTAAGCTTAACTACAATATGGTAAAAACTATCCCCCGCCGGACACCAACCCGGTATTTCTGAGTCAAGGTCTCGGGGCCGGGATTACAAGGTAGGACAAATACTGTACAATTACTTAAATAGATAAAAATGGTAGAAACTATCCCCCGCCGGACACCATCCCTGTATTTCTGAGTCAAGGTTTCGGGGCTTCGAATGTTATGACGGAATTGTTGCACTGTATTGTGATAGTAAAGTCTTTCTTTGTTGTCCTTATTTAGATCTGATTAAAAATTTTCTGTGTTTTTTATAATTCAATTTGTGTTTCCCGTGAGCAGCGAATAGAATGCATTCACATTACGCTTCTCGTATTTCTCGTCACCATATAACGTTTGGTAATGACAATGTGTGTAATTTAGATTCTTCAAAACAAAAAGCAGGTAGATGTTTAACCTTGTTTTCTTTGTATATTATAGGTAAGCCTATGTTAATTCCTCATTTTCGTGTAATATGTTTCCATAGTTTTATTTTAAAGTTCCTCGCCCCAATATTCGTAGACAATACATTTTTTTTGTTTCGAGTTCTAGACTTGTATTTAAATCACTTGATTTTTTATTATAATTATTGTTCTTGCTCCTTCTATAGGGAGGCCTATATTAATTACCGGTACCGTATTGTTGTAAATTGTTTTAATCATGAATGTTTTATTGTAGGGCCCTACTGTTATCAAATATTTTGTAAATGTATATAGTTGTTTTATGTTGTATTTATGCACACTGTCATTAGCGTTCAAGCTGTTGTGTGAAACGAAATAAAATAAATATATATGAATGCATACCTAACAAATCAGAGAGTAATTATGATCAAATCAACATCTATTTTAATGAGGGCGCCCTTTACGCATAATCAGTAGAGTTCCTATAATAGAGAACAGCTTTATCATTTCAGATTCATATCATCGATCATAATAGTTTTACGAAGCTCCGTATAATTTTACACTCGGTCAACCATGAATACACTAATTATATGCAGATCAATATAACTAACCCTCTCATCCGAAAAAATATATAGCTCAAATTCATAACCTATGTTACATGTCATGCAATGAATACGGTATCTATACAATTGATAACAGGAAAAAATTGGTTTTATATTCATTCATTGTAATCATTGTAATGTAAGGACGTGTGCAGTAGCATAGGTAAGTAAATTGTGGGCCTTATAATTTTGTTTTACTTAGAATACATTCAAATTTGCTAGGACTGGCCTGCTTTTGGATTCGTAGCCAGAAAATTGATTTCTGTGGGACAATAGGCCTAACAGTTGCAAAAATAGTTTACTGTATGAAAACTACCAGGCGAACTGTCATGATTGAAGGGATATGGGCCTTGCAGGATAACATATGCTTTATATAGTCTCTTTTAATTTTAAGTTATTTAAAATTTCATTGTAGGTTTTTGCTCTTTAGACAAAACAAAAACAAAAGTCTAGAGGACGTGTCAACAGCTGCAAGCAAATCTAAAGCTTTGTCACTATCAAATTTTATTTGGCAAAAAAACTTGTTTCCCCATATATGATCATGATGTGCCTATATATGGTCATGATGTGATGTCATTATGACCATATTTAGGCATTTCACATGTTTTTGTAAATAAAATTTGATAGTCTGGCCAGAGCTTTCAACGACACGTCCTCATAATGCATATTTCCCAACGGCAAACATAATAAATAAGTCAATAAATATCGAACTACAAACGAATTTTTAACTTTCTACATATCGAGCAATGACAATTTTCTTTGATTATTACCATTTTTTCCTAATAAGCTGAGGTCCCGAATTCAACCGTTCCCTGTTACAAAAAACTTAAATATCGAGTTTTTGATTAAGTAGACCTAGCTGTTACGTAGGCCTAGTGCGTAGACTTACTTGTGTAAGTACGTGCTTACACGCCTATGTTCGGTACCACACAAATATTTGATGATTATCCGATACCAATAATATCGATATTGAAACTTATACTCTAGCTGAATAAGTATTATAAACGAAAAATATCAAATACGCCTGACCTAGCCTATGTTTAAGACACTTCACTGTACTGTTTCCGATGAGCTTGTAAAAACAAACACGATGTAATATTTATAAGGAAGTCTATACACTCGAAAAAGCCATAGTGGTTTTTTTTCATGTCATTTGTTTGATTACCAAGGCCTAATTAGATGCTACCATGTTAACCATACTGTTAAATTTATCCTAAACTGGTCCCACGGGTCTACAGATCAAATTGCTTCACGTATTCTAGTGGTTTATATTATATTCTATTGGCGCCTCAACACCGCTAATTAATAGATATTAACATATCAAATATGATATGAACACGTAATATTATGCTTATCATCCAAAACAATAAATTATGTCAACGTGTGACTTGTGCATTTAAAGTGGTACTCTAATCGAACTGGCGTATTGAACTCGGGACTCACATTTGTGCGCGAGATGGTCAGCTATAGTAAAAAAGTTGTGGATCCGCCCCTGTGACTATTGCTACCAAAGATACTAGTATCATTGATTGCTACGCACAACAGTAACATAATTTGATTACAGGATGACTGGTGTCGGATATAAAAGAACTGCTTTAAGTACCGTACTCAGTATCGGATCGTTTTGACCGCATTACTTTTTATGACCGTCGTTAAGAATTGGTGAACTAACGCAATACAATTATCATTTCAATAGTAATATAGGTATACTCATGCGCATTGGATATAGATACATTTGTCGATCTATACGAGCATTTTCTGTCAATTCGAATCATCCAGCGGAGCAGTTAACATGAGCAGCAAGTATTATGGTAAAGTCAGATCGAAAACCAAAATCACTCCAGCAGAAAGCAAGAAGAGGATGACACACTGGTAGGTCGTTGAACTCGTAGATATAATAATATTTGTTGTCATACTATG